AACAGGACGGTCACCTATCGAGCTGGTGGGTAACATATTTTGCAAATGTGTGGTGTCTTGATAAACCGAGCAGATATTTGAAGTTTGCACAGCTACATTCTCACCTGAAAATATATTAAAAGTTTCTTTTGTGACCCAGAAAGAGTAATATTAAAACTAAGTAGCTGCCGCCATTGTTGGAAACTGGAATTAGCTGAGCCGTGCTATGAATTCTGGGATATGGTGGGCCATCTTCTTCCTGTTAAGAGGGAGTTTTTCCTTCCCACTGTCACCTTGCTCATATGGGGTCCATATGATTGTTGGGTTTTCTCTGTATGTATTATTGTATCAATATAAAGCACCTTGAGGCGACTGCTGTTGTGATGTGGCGCTGTGTAAATTAAATTGACTTGAGTCTTCTGTTTCAGTCTGTTATTATACACTTAAGTGCTACTACTTATTCCTGTGTTGTTCAGGATTTTGCAAAGCTTCAGACGACGGGTCGACTATTAAACTGGTTTAGGCGATTTTGATAGTCGATGTAATCGTGGCAGCCGTAAACTGTCACATGTCAGTTGGCTGATCTTTCTCCACTGTTCCATGGCAGGTGGTGATATACTGTGGGGAGCAGCATATCTCAAAGGCACAAAGTTCCCACTCCTGTGTCACTGGCAAAATAATTTGTGTGTATTCCTCCACATAAATGAAATAAATAAATAAACTGTTACTTGCATGAGTCTCATTATAGTGAGACAGCTGGATGCAAACCCTACACGATCCCTTGGATTAAATTAGACTGAAAGTTGTTGTTGATTAAAATTTCTAAATGGTTTTTGAAGAAACTGTAGCACTTAATATAGCAAAAAGCCAGCAGACTGTTGTTAAGCTGGCTCTGTGGAAAGCAGATAAACAGCTCAGGTCTTCATAAGAAAAGCACCTAAATGTGAATCTGTGACAGTTGCTGCAATTATCAAATTCAAATCCTTGGATGAAATGGATCAAGTTTCATTTAAAATGATGGATGTCTGAGTCCAGATCAGTATCTATAGCTGAAGATAATTTTCGTTGTTGCGTTGCTTTTTTTGGCACAGCTGCAGCTTTGCTTCATGGCCGATGTTGCAATGCCATAAATTTCAAGCTTAATTTAAATCCATGTTTATCACACTTACAAATAAGTGTGAGACAAGTCACGGATGAAAGGCTAAATGCTGTTTTTTATCCATCAGAGATATTTGATTGATTTGCTGATGGGAAGTTTTTGACAGATGTTTAAATACTGTTACAGTTACTTCTCAAGGCAACGTAGACCCGGGTGAGGTGGCTTCAAAATAATATTGCATTATATCAAGGTGTTTTTGTGCAAGCAGTACTTTGAGCAGTAGGGTTTAAGGATCATTATTTAATTTTTACCACAACATGTACTAATATAATGTCCTGTCAGATAGCCTTGTTGGACTGGACTGGTTCCTTTATACCTGAGCCCTCACAATGCTTTACGCATCTTTCCGCATTCATACAGTCCCGATCAAAAGTTTAAGATCACTTAAGAAATGTCAAAAATCACATTTTGATCTTTTTGATTGAGCTTCAACATGCAACAAGAAGAAAGGGGAGTGAGACAAAACACTTTTTGAGCATGCAGTTTACTGAAAACAGTGCTTACACTGAAACAGGCTGTTTTACAGCTGATCAAAAGCTTAGTACCACGTGCGCTGGCAAAGGTCGGCAGCCTATTAGCCTGGGACTAATAAAGGTTATCTTAACTAATCTTATCTTTACAAAGCCAAATCTGTGCAAAAATGTGGATTCAGTATACATATGTGCATAGAAGTATTTACCAGGGAAATTCAATTAAAAACAGGTTCAAAGTATTCCTTGTTTTTATTGGAAATATGGAAAAATCTAAAAGCTACGAACTGTATGTGTCAAAGATAATAAACCCTACAACTGTGAGAAAAAGTTTTTGGCAGAATGAGCTGGAGTAACTTCCTGTCACATTATTTAAGACTTCCATGAGACTCTTCTCATCTTTGCCTCACTGCAGTTTGTTATCTACACAGATTCTTTCTCAGCACTTCATGGACTGGTGTTTGTCTTGGCGTGCAGTGTAAACTGTGGGAGCCTTTATACACAGGTGTGTGGTTTTCTAAACAATGGCAGTTCATGTTGCTGCAGGTTGACAGTAGTTTTGCAGAACAATTATTATTTGAGTTCTTTTCTACGTAGCACTCTTAATTCTTATTCTCATGTATATATCTCATGTATAGCTCATGCACATATCTTTCTACGTAGCACTTTTAATTCTTATCCCTACTTTTATTTTTCCATGTCTATTTAAGTGCTATTTATGACACTATGTTTGCACTGAAGCACCGCAGCAATTTCCTAATGTTGTAAACCTGCTCAACATTTGGCAATAAAACCCTTTCTGATTCTGATTCTGATTCTGATTCTTGGTGATTCGCAATTCATGGAGTAATTCGGATTTCCACTCAGTATGTGTGTATACACCTCTCTGCATTTAATCTCTGTCTCCTCCACAGCATGTCTTCATGGTCAGAGGGCCCGGTGGCGCCAGTGTCCGGCAGCCTCGCCTCTGTCAGTGCGCCCCAGGGTGGCTGTGGCTACAATGTAGCTTCATCACCAGTGTGTGAATGTGTGTGTGAATGACTGAATGTAGTGTAAAGCGCTTTGGGATCCTATGGACTAGAAAAGCGCTATACAAATGCAGGCCATTTACCATTTGGGTTTTTCTCTGTATGTATTATTGTACGGTCTACCTTACAATATAAAGCACCTTGAGGCGACTGTTGTTGTGACTTATGTGAGTCACTGGTAGGTTCACAACAGTACTCATGCTATTCCTCTTCAGTGTCACTAGATGGCGTAGTAATTCCAATAAATGGAAGGTTATGCCAGTATTGTAGGCTGGGATGTAGCTGCTCGGCCATGAAACTCTCCACCAAGTGAAGTTTAGAGGTCTGTAGCGATCGACCTCTCTGCACTATGCACCTCCCTTTGTGATTTCACGTCGCCTACCACTTTGTGGCTGAGTTGCTGTCATTTCTATTTGCTTCCACTTCATTATAATAATTCTAACAGTTGACTGTGGAATATTTAGTGAGGAAATTTCACAGCTGTACTTGTTGCACATGTGGCATCCTGTCGACTTCACTGAGCTCCGGAGAGTGCCCCACATTTCTCTCACAAGTGTTTGTAGAAGCAGTCTGCATGGCTATTATCACTCCTGGTTCAGGAAAGATCAGAAACATACAATACTTTGTAGTTGCCTTGTTATGTTCCTGATCTCTTCCTCGTAATTATTTTTACAAATGATGCAGTTGTGCTCATGCTAGATTTTCATACAAAGGCTGAAATAATTCAGTTTATTAGTCAAAACATGTCATAGAAAAGTATGTATGACATGTTTACATTCACCATGTACAGTAACAAAAACTGATCAGTGCAAGAAGCAATCAGGAAACGTTTATTTCATTAAAGGAAAGCTGACTGCCCGTTAAAACAAATATGAAATATTCTGTATGTTCTGAAATGGAAAGTTCTACACCTGTTGCAGTATTGTTACTCCAGCTCTTTGTGCTGTCTTTGGATTGCTACCTTAAGCTCCCACTCTGTTGTTTTTGGTCCCACTGTGTTTTAGTCTACCGTTGGCTGATTGTCCAGAGTAGGGCTGCTCGATATAACGATATATATCCGATGACGATATAAAAACATCTATCGTTTCATTTTACGCTATCGTTTGTTTCGTGGTGTCGGAAATAAACTGTTTACAGCGATATTTGTTCATGGTTCTGATGTCACTGTAGAGGCTATATTCATTTCTTAAAGTTCTCTCTTTCTCTTATATTTAATATAACCACACTACGGACGGACAAGCGCCTGTTTTTAAGCGTTGTCGTTAGCAACAACAACGTTAAAACCATCGCGTGTCCGTTTGTTTATGTTCCACATAAACCTTTCACAATAAAGCTCAAGATCCTGTTGAGACCTTTCAAAATAAACTGAATCACGTGAAAGAGCAGATTATTTACGGATGAGAAGTAAAAAAGACGCCAGGTGCTAAAAAATAAAGCTCAGACTCAAACGTTAGAACAGGCTTTTCCCCGCAGCACGCCGTGTAATAAATACTCACAAAGAAAACGGCGCCGTTACAACTTATGTCTAAAAATGCATCCTTTAATGCATCGGTTAAAACACTCGACTCCAGCTACACGACGCCCAGAAGGAAACACTTCACGCAAGTCGAGCTGCCCAAGATTCACAGACTTTACAGAAAATGTTACATTTTTGTGATTTATATCGTTATCGGACGATAGATGTCTTGTATCGGGATATGAGATTCTGGACATATCGCACAGCCCTTGTCCAGAGCCAGCATTTACAGGGAGGCTCCTAATGTTTCATGAAGGATGAAGGAATCTAATCTGTATCAGCTTTGATACAGTACTAACACTCTGCTTTAGGTGTCTCTTGGTACATCTGACTGATAAGATGGGAATTTAAATTCCAATAATATACAAATATATACTTCTAAGGATATAAATAAAAATGGAATAGCAGCAAATCAGTGCACCTATTTACGTAGATATGGTCAAGATGACCAATGTGTAAAAATCCAACATTGTTTGTAATTTCAGCTCACGTTTGAACAAAAAGACAGAAGCTGAAAGATGAGCGGCTCTGTTGACCTGAGAAAGCTGTGCAGGTTTTATCATTTTATGTGAGTTTTGTCAGTGAACGAGTACAATTTTTCAATTAAAACCGTGAAAAGTTTGCATTTATCGGTTAGTGGAGAGAGACCGGGGTTTGAGCACATGCAGCACAGGGCCACTGATCGGACTCGCACCGCTGCGTTTCAGCCATGTGGTCGCCTGCTCACCCACTGAGCTAAACTGGCACACACATAAGAAAGGGTTGTTTGTTTTTTCATTTTTCTGTTCATGTTTTATCCTCTTTCTTCTGCTGTTTGTTAAACTGTTACCCATCTACTCCTCTTTCAGGTCTATTTATGATGACCAACCCAATGCCCACAAGCGCTTCATGGAAAAGCTTGATGCCAGGATCAGGAATCATGACCGTGAGATTGAAAAGATGTGCAATTTTCACCACCAAGGGTTTGTGGATGCCATCACAGAGCTCCTCAAAGTCCGTGCTGATGCAGAAAAACTGATGGTAAGAGAGATTACGTTAAACATAACTAGCGACACATAGAGGTGATAGTAAGAGAGCTCGCTTTTATTATACATTGGCTTTTTAATTTAACAGTGGGTGTGTGAACTCCTGCATTGTGAAGAAGAGAAAATTACAGCAGGTTTTTTGGGATTATTGGTAATAGGGCTGAACGATTATGGAAAATAATCT